TTTTCTTTATTATTTTTGCAAGTTAATTCTAAGCTTTCTTGTTCTAAGACTTTCTCTACTTTTTTTATTTTCTAATATTTGCTACTTTTTTGATTATTTTTCTCTATTCTCTTACTGCAAATACTATTTTACTCATTATATCTATTATTTTTGCTATTATTTTGTTTATATAATTTTCAAAACCTAATATAGGCTAGTACAAAAATGTAAATATATCAATACAGTAATGATAAAAAATTTTTTTAAAAAGTTAATACAAGTATTTAAAATTTTAATTTATTACTTTAGTTTTTAAGTTTATTTTAATATAATTTTTATTAAATTTTTAAACTAAAAAAAATATTTTATTAGAAAATAATTTTCTCGATTTCAAGATCTTTAATATCACTTTTAACTAAAGTAATATATTTATCATATTTCTTATATTCCTTTGCTCTAGTAAGTGATTTTCTTTAAAGATCTGTAATAGTTTTAGAGCTAATCTTTTTAGTAAATACTTCAAGTAATTTGTTTTAAATAGAAAACAGATTTGGGTATGAACTAGTCTTAGCAACTTCTTGTTTCGCAACTACTCAAATCTCTTCTATTAATTGAAGCTCATAGTGATATAGTGAGGTATAAGACAAATTGTATCCATATTTATTAGCAATTTAAACATATGTGAATAGTATTTTGTATTTATTTCTTTTTACTAACTCGTATAGCTCAACTTTGATACAACTCACTAATACAATAATATCATATAATACTAACCATATATGAAGTACATCTTTTTTTGAATTTGATGTTAGCACTTGTTCAGCCTGGTGTTTATAATAGCAAGCTCGATCTATATGGATATCTATTGATCTATATTGGTCTTTAATATCAGCACAAAGTTTTTCAAAAAGATTTTTAAAAATTTCAGAATTAAAATTGCCATGATAATCATTTTGATTAGCTACAATATTTGTATTATGAATTGTGTCAGGAATATTTTTCTACTCATTTGCATTTGCTCGTTTTCTTTTTCATAAAGAAGGAGGTTTAATAGATAGATCCTATATTAAAAAAAAGTTGAAGACAATTTTACCTTCAAGTTTATTTATATTACTATTGTATATTACAATAATTGTACCAAATATAACTAACAAAAGGCTATACTCTGGTATACAAACAATTCTTTAAGATAGTACTCATATATAATTAGTTGTATAGTTTAAGTAGCAGTAAGATTTATTCAAAAATACTTCTGGTTTAACTAAAACACTATTATTACCTAACAAATTACTAAAACACTATCTCAAATAATGACTATGAAAGGCTATATTTTCAGCTAACTTATGCAATATATTACAATATTCACCATGGCCATAAAAATATTCTAAACTATATAAAATTTGAAGTAACTGCTATTTTAAAAACTTATAACCTTTTTCCTCAAGCTTTTGTTACAGTACAGGTATAGAAAGAGGAAAACTAGCAGAGTTTGTAGATATAACCAACACAGGTCGAAATTTTTTATT